ACTCCACCTACCTATATAACATTAAATATAAAAAAACATTCTTTAGATGTCCTGATTTTTTAAATTATATTTCAATACGATGGGTCCGTAAAGTTAAATTAGAAAAAATGTGCACATGTTATTTAATTGTACTTTAAGACAAGGTCTAGGTACTTAGATCAAAATCTTTATTAGGCACTTACATATTTTAAACATACTGTAAAGAGCAATCGTTTAATTACATCATATTTATGCTAACTTTGTAAAAAATAATTTTATTATCGTATTCTAATCACAGAAACAAGGCGTAACAATCGTGAAATATAAAAAAAAAGTACAATCTACTTATATTTCAAAATATAACTTGTTAATCTTTTTTATATAAATTAACAATTTTAAAATCATAACCGTTTTTAGTATTTAAATTATACATATTTAAATAGGGTTTTACATATGTATTACTATATAGTATCAGATGTATATCTATATAGATATACATCTGATATAAACAGTAACAGTTGGGAAGCGCAGATGCATAACAGTGTTTGGCGTCCTCTTTTTTGTCCATAGCAGTCACCATCGGTATACAGCTGCATTCAACTTAATTTTATATTGATTTGTTCCTACTTCCCACTCTCGTTGTTATCCGCCCCTACACACAAATAGGCAAGATCTGAGAAAATAATATTGGATCCACTTAAGGTGTGTAAACTACTATTAAATTAATATAACCACGGGTTTTTCATATACCTACAATCCTATATTATTTCGGGGTGTATAATTAGGTATTGTCTTCCATTCTTAAATAAATAATCACACTTTTTTCTTTAAGACTTCGTTACTTATACATGTGGTTGATTTTTCAGTGTAGGAGGCATGAGTGTAGGGTGACATGCCATGCTTCGTCTTTCTCACATAGATTGAACTCGGAGGGTGGAGTGGGTTGCAAAAGGGAATGGGGTTTCACAACTACATCGAAACGCGCGCGCCGCCGCCGCCACCGCCGCCGCCGCGCCGTGCCGCACCTCCCCCTATACGTATACATGCCAACCGATGCGATTATTCTGTCTAGCGGCGAGAGAGAGACGTATAGTCAGAATTTTAATTCGATTCCAGATTTGACAATAGCTACTGTCATTTTGTGAAATAATGATACCACATATAATCGTGTAGTGATGGACACAAAAATCGATAAACAATCGGTGTGTGTACCAATTAAAGACTAAATTATTGATTTTTATTTAACCCTTCGGGTGCCGTCATTAAGTCTATAATTGTGTCTACAATTAAAGAACAATAATAGGTGTACGGACACCGGTGTTCTCGCGGTGTTTGACAGTTTAAATAAATACATACTTAATTATTCATAATAATTATTTATTACTTAGTAATCGCAGCTCTATTTTGTAAAAAGGTTAATATTTTGGTTTTTATATTAAAAACTAGGTGTTGCCCGCGGATTCGCACGCGTGGACTACAGGTAATATCACAGCGGGATAAAAATAAGGCTACTTAAAATATATTATCTTTTATTTTTTTTTAAGACAAAATCTCTGCTTTTATAATGTTACGCTGCAGAGAAATAACTTTCAGTCTTGTCCCGTTGCATAATTTTGGGGGACTTAGATTTCTCAACAAAATAATTGGGACGCCTATTTTTAAAGAACGTGTGAGCTGGAAATCCAGGAGCGCTCAGAGAATTAAGAAATTCAACGGGATAATTGGTAGCGTCATCTTGCTCCATTACTCTGTTGATAGTAGTATACTCAACTTGTTCTCCTTCAACATGGTTGAGTATATCCAAGTTGATTCTTACGGCTTGGTCATTTCGCGAAGTTAAAATTGCTCTTTCGCAAAGTCATAAGTTCTCATGACTTATTATTTAATTTGCTTTATCATATACGTAAGAGATAAGTTCTTCAATTGAATTAACGGTGTGGCAGAGATTTTCAGATAATACAATTTCCCCTTCTTCTTCTGGATATATTCTTTCGCCAATTTTCAACAACAAATCAGAAAATTCCTGAGCATTTGTGTTACCTCCTGTTCGCGCCCTCATGTTCATCGTCAAGTGCATCCTTGTGATGTGTCGCCAAAGACTTCAGCTTTTTAAGTATGCTCTTAACATGCAGCGTTTGTCTAAAATCCCCACAAAACAGCATCGTTACGCCACCCACAGGTTGGTCATTTTGACGGATATCTCTGAGAGTTCTATCAACTGCCTCTACAGTTTTTCGGTGTGCCATAGTGCACTCATCCCAGATAATTAAACAGCAATCGCGTAAAACCTTCGCTTTATCACTGCTTCTAGAGATACCACATACAGGATATTCACTTATGTCCAAATCTATGGGGATTTTAAACATTGTATAAGCAGTTTTACCGCCGGGTAGCAAAGTGGCTGCTATTCCAGATGATGCTACAGCAAGACCTATTTTGGCTTGAGCTCGTAATTGTGCCAAGATTATTTTAGTGAGAAAGGTTTTTCCCGTCCCAGCAGGTGCATCTAGAAATATAATTTCTCGTGTTATGACGTAGGCATCCGCTAAGAAAGGATTTTGATAAATTCCACCCCCAAAGGGGTAAAAAAGGCGATGAAAGTTTGTATGAAACTTTGTCAGTTTTACACTGATCGGGTTGAATTTTGATATGCAGGTAAATGTTTTGATGAAGGCATCCCATAAGATAAGATTTTGATCAATTCTACCCCCAAGAAGACAAAATTGGTGATGAAAGTTTGTATGAAATTTTAAACTGATTGGGCTGAGATTTTGCATGCATAAAAGTAGTTTTATTCTTAGGAGATGCCTACGTCATAGTAGTATGACGTAGGCATCTCCTAATAAAGGAATTTGATACATTTATTCTACCCCCAATGGAATAAAATAGCACATGATAGTTTGTATAAATCATCTTAGCGAATGAATCTAAAATCAATGAATAAAAATAAATTCATTTCACAATAAGTATAACCTAAGTACTGAATGAAGTCTGACGACATTTTTTTGTTACCGTGAAATCTCCCTTGGTAAAGTCAAAATTCTGCCAGAAGTCATTCTGCGTGGACGAAGTCGCGGGCAACAGCTAGTCTAAAATATATAAGTAATGATTCCAAGCTATTATAAAATTAACTATTTTAGATTTTACAAGTAATGAACGATGATTCGGAAATGCCCAAAATTTCCAAAGACACCCTTAGAAAAATTTTGAAGCATCTTAATTTTAAATTTATTGCACGTTCACGCAAGAGCACACTTATTGATCGAAATGACATAATAACATGGCGCCAGCGTTACTTGCGATCTATATGTAAGTTTCGACGAGAAGGGAGACATATATATTATCAAGATGAAACTTGGATTAACGCAGGTAAGGCTAAAATTTATACACAAAATGAATTTGTATACATTTTACATTACATTTAATAGTAATATTGTATGTACTATATTTATTTTAAGGTCATACTGTAAAAAAAACTTGGGTGGACAAGAAAGTCACATCATCTCGACAAGCGTTTTTAGACGGACTGACCACTGGATTAAAAAATATATCTGGAAAAGGTAAACGTCTCATAATTAGCCATATAGGTAGTGAAGAAGGCTTCCTGGAAGAAGGGCTCATGATTTTTGAAGCAAAGAAAAATTGTGCAGATTACCATGATGAGATGAATGCAATTTGTTTTGAGGAGTGGTTCGCTGGAGTCTTACCAAAATTAAGACCAAACTCAATTGTGGTGATGGATAATGCACCTTACCATTCCCGAAAATTGGAAACGGCACCAAAAATGAGCTGGAAAAAAGCTGCCATTCAAGATTGGCTTTTAAATAAAAATATTAATTACGAACCAGATATGGTTAAAGCTACGCTTTTGGAACTGGTTCCACATAACGAGTGTTTTAATAAGTACGCTGTGGACGAAATGGCAGCACAACATGGGATCACGGTTTTAAGACTGCCCCCTTACCATTGCGAGCTAAACCCTATCGAATTGATATGGGCGCAGGTAAAGGGGCATGTTGCTCAAAATAATAAAACATTCAAATTGACAGACGTGAGAAATTTATTTCAGGAAGGCATTCAAAAAATTACGGCTACCGAATGGTCTAAATGCATATCCCATGTTGTCAAAGAAGAGGAAAAAATGAGTAGGCTAGATATATTAATTGACAATATCACAGACACATTTATAATAAATGTTACAGAAAGTGATAGTGATAGCGATGACAGCGACAATTTATAAAATAAATTATTACCTATATAATATATATATAATAATACATCTATCTGTTTTAATTGTTATGTTCCTTCATGATCACATTTTTTTTTATTTCACACATAATTATAAAAGAAAAGTCTCAGATCGTTAATTAATCGTCAAAACTAAATTATCGTTTCAGAAATATTTAATTTCCTGATATACTTAGTTACGAGAATAACATTATAAACGAGAAGAATCGATCCAGAAATATTCCATTTCCATATCGAATAATTTCGCAACGTCACTATTTAGTACTTGTCATAACGTTGCAACACTGAAATTGTCAAATCTGGAATCGAATTAAAATTCTGACTATAGTCAATGCTCTGTTCGCGTCAGGTCGCTTCGTTGCATTCCAGTATAAGTTGTCAGTCCGCAACGCGCCGTTTGACCGAACGGACGTACGCGCGCGCTTCCAACATCGGAAAATTATCGTTGTTTATTTATTTATCTTGAATTGCATATCTTGAATTTTTTGTGCGTCAAAATTGCCTTTGATTTATAATAGTGACCGAATATTTACGAAAAAACAATAATCAATCTTAATGAACTGTGATCGTGTTTTTGGCCGTTTCAAACATTAACAAAAACGGTAGAAAACAAAGTGTGAGGACAAGCGAAATGAGCGGATTGACCAACAGAGTTAAAAGAGGATCGAGAGGTAGTGCAACTCTTCTCGAAGCAGCGAACAGGATTTTGCGATTACTTGGCGTGAGCTCCACGAAGCGCGGGAAACAGCCCTCGCCCAAATCTAAGGTAAGGTCATTGACTGTCTGAAGCTCGTGTTTATGTATACCCCCGTGTCGGTTTGTTTATACCCAGTAATGTTGAATAACGATTGACTTGTTAGGTTGACTTCAAGTTTTAGATTGTGGTAAAGTGAAAGTATTACGTATTTATTTGGGTACTGTGTATTAAGTTTTTGTGATTCTAATAAAATATTTAGAGATCTTTTAATTCATAAGGGTTTGGTAAAAATATTAAGAAATAATAATAAAATAATAAATAAGTTTTGAAATTAAACGGAGATTAATTTTATGTCTCGAATAGGCAAAAAACGAAGACGTGGCAATGTCGTAGAATCAATAGGCAGGCAAAGTTAGTAAACTTTCGCCATGTAAAGCGGTGATTGCACACTTTCGCCCTGTTTTTCTATATGTAAAAATGTCAATGGATGACTTCGTGCACCGTTCACAAGCGAGCGTGCGGGTATTCTCGTGTGATACAAACAAACATCGTCGAGCGGCGGGCGCGGCCACAGCACCGCACTTGTTTGTTCACGCGTCGCCGGCGTGACCACCTTGTTTACCATTGCGAACTCCTCACGATCTCCGCATTCAACAGACCGTTACGGCTGCAATCATTCAACTATCGTAAACACAAACGTATCCTTCAGATACTGGGTACACGCAGATTGTTCAGTTAATGCTGCCGCGCAATATGCATGATTTGCACGACCTTTAACACGCACTAGTGGTACGCTCACGTGGGTAGGTGTAATAGCCAAAAATATTTGCATCAGATGTCTTCAAAAGCTCATATTATTTTCCAGTTTGTCGTGTAATAATTAATTTATTTGGGATTAAATTTGATGTAAGTATCTTATTTGGTACAAAAATTATGTAGCAGTTTAATAATTGCTTCAAGATTTCCTCGATCAGTCAGTGGGGATAACAAAACAATATGCTACCTTCTTATTGCTTACTAGGTACCATGACAAGAGTTTTGCAAAAGCAGATAACTGTAAAATAATTAAATATTTATTTACATATCGCTCTTTACCCAAATATTGTTATCTAGATAAAATTGAAACGCCGACGCCATCGCCACAATGTTTGTCGTACGTCATCACTGATGTTGTGGCGTAATACTTTGCGGAGGAGGTTATGTACACCCACATTCTTTATCTTTTCTGATAATTTTGTAGGGCTTGTGCTTTGTGGAAAAATACAGGTTGCACCGGAAAGTAACCTACTTATAATTATCCCAAAACATCAAAAATCTAAATGAAGATTTAGTATAAAATCAACGATTGTTTATGAACGTAAACAAAGGTTGGTGTCGCATCATACATAAGTACTTAATAATAATTAGAGGTCGTTCTGAGTGCGACGAAGGATGTCTGCTGTTGAATGGTGTTCAACACAGGTTGTTTATACTTTGTGATTAATGATCATGCAGTGAGAATTCCTCATTCATCTTTCGTTTTTCTTCATTTTAATAATGATGGTACAGTGTCGTACGAGCTATCCTCGTGACCGGACGTTTTACTAATTAGTTATTCCATTTAAGCGCTTATCGCATATTTTGTTTACGCGCGGCCCAACCGGTTTCCCCGGTCGGGCTTGCAGCTGTTGTTTGTGCATATGAGTGAGTCGAACGTAAATGAATCAAATATAATAAATTCGTTATCGAGCGCTGACGAGTTAGAGGACGGTACAAACATGGATATTGAGGACAATACACAACAGGTTGAAACGGAGTTGATAGGAGGGAAAAGGATAAGGGATGAAAACTCTTCAGAGGATGGATGGAGTGTAGTTAATAGAGGGAGAAGCAAACTTATATGTAGTAGGGAACAGCACGATGAGAGAATAAGAGAAGAGAGAACACAGGTATGCGTCACGTGTAAAGAACCTTTGCCGAAACAATTCGCTTTGGCACGCCTATTTAAGACACGCAATATTCCCAGCGGCAAGATCTATAAGATTAAATACGTACATCAGTATAAAATGCTGATTACGTTTGATAATGATATGGGTGCAGAGGAATTTATAAAGTGTTCGGTGTTTACTGACATGGGTTGGTCTTGCCAAAAGACTTCGGAAGTAGGTGTATCATACGGACTCATTAGAGCAATGGAACTTGACATTTCTGATGAAGATCTTAAAAGTAATTTATCAAGCAGTGCTGAAATAACATCGATTAAAAGATTAAATAAACGTTGCTCGGATGACCCCGAAGGTAACGGCTGGTCTCCGAGTGAAACAATTCGGCTAGGGTTCAAAGGGCCCTCCTTACCAGCTTATGTTTATATTTACAACCTGAGGATTCCAGTGGAGCGGTTTGTATTTCCGGTTACTCAATGTGCTAACTGCTGGAAATTTGGCCATTTAAAGATAAGATGTCCATCCAAGCAGCCTGTTTGCCCCAAATGCTCATTAAAACACCTCAATTGCACAACCACTTCATTCACTTGTGTAAATTGTTCAGGCTGTCATATGGCGCTCGATAAAGTATGTCCATCTTATAAGAAGGAAAAGAAGCTACGCGATATTATGTCAGAATTTAACTGCACTTATAGGAAGGCGCTCACCCTATACGTTCCGCCTTCCCCCGTCCAAATTCCTCAAGTGGTTGCCAATCCAACGCTCGACGGCAGCCTGACTTATGCAGAAATTACCAAATCCAAACCACTAACAGCGGAGGCAAATGTTGGTACAGCCTTGGAAATAAACGACCCAGATACAGCGACTACAAATATACGAGCTAAACCAAAACGGACTCTGAAGAAGCATCGCCGACCAGTGACCCCCACGCCTTCTGAGAACATACTATGGCATCATAATCCCGAGTCTTCAGATTCTTCCGAAAAATTGGACAATCCTTTGGCAAATAAGAATGAACATCTCGATAAGACTTTACATAATTTGAGTTTTTGGCATATGATACGAAAAATTAGTAATATTATAAAAAGTAAGAAATCTCTTCAAATTAAAATCAAACAATCACTTTCCATATTTACAGAGTGGCTGACACAAAAAATTGTAAGTAGTTTATCTATTGATTCGATATTTGATTTATTTGTCGGAAATGGCTAATGATAATGTTTATACAAACTTAAATATTATGCAATGGAATTGCCAGAGCATACGACCCAAATCTCATTCACTCGAATTACACCTAAATCAGGAAAAAATACACATTGCCGTGTTAAGTGAGACTTGGTTGGAACCCGAAAGTTCTTTTAGAATTAACGACTACAATACGTATAGGTTAGATAGAGAAGATCGTTACGGTGGTGTCGCCGTTATGACTCATCGCTCTGTAAGGTCTATTGTTTGCCCAACACAAAGTCGTAATCCTGGTATTGAACTATTGCATATTAAAATTTTAAATTGTCAGCATATTGAGAATGTAATCTCCATTTATTGCCCGTCGACGGTACACACCACTCCAAGTGATTGGGACGCAATCTTTTCTATTGCTAACAGAAAAACTCTCATCTTAGGCGATTTTAATGCTCACCACTCAAATTGGTCTGTAAGAACTGATCGACGCGGCTCCGAAATATTTGACTCCATGTTGGATTATAATTTCATTCATTTAAACGATGGTAGCTTCACTAGAATTCGAATGGTTGATGGTGTTCTCCAGAAGTCTAGCCCTGATATCTCATTCGTTTCTGTAGATTTATCCCTGTTATTTACGTGGAAGCCAACAAACGAATCGCTCGGTAGTGATCATTTAATAATTAAATTGATTTGCTCGCTTAATATTAGCACAGACTATCAACATAAAAGAAATTTTAAAAAATCTGACTGGACTTCTTACGCCACATTTATAGATGAACAATTACAAAACTGTATTATATCCCAGGACCCTCAGAGTTCATATGACCAATTATATAATATAATTCAAAAAGCCGCTGACAAGTATATTCCAAATATAAGAATTCCTCAAAACATTTCTAGCTCATTTAAGCCAAAACCATATTGGTCCCCAGATCTGTCCAAGGCGGTTGCGGAGCGGCGTTTGGCTTTGGCGAAGCTGAGAAGTTGCCCCTCTCCGCGTAATTTAGATATCCTCAAGGAGAAAATAAGCACTGCTCAGAGGCTTATTCGCAAGGCTCGGTGTAAATCTTTTCAACAGTTTTGTACATCTATTGACGAGACCACTTCTGCATCCGAAATGTGGCGTAAGATGAGGTGGTTGAAAAGTCGGCAAGTGCCTAACACCAGTGTAGACAAAGAGAAAGCCCAGCGCCTACTTAAAGATCTCACTCCAGATTTTGTAAGTCCTCCGCAGCCTTCTTTTAGTTCCAATAATGCCATGCTAGAGTCTCCAATCTTAATGTCTGAATTAATCAACTGCATCAAGAATTGCGATACAACTCCTGGGGCAGACCAAATTTCCTTTTCCATGATTAAACACCTTCCGCCTTCCGGTAAACAAATGTTGCTTCAAATATATAATCAATGTTTTTCTGTGGGTTTTGTTCCTCATCAATGGCGCCAAATTAAAGTCGTCCCAATCCCAAAGCATAGTTCAGCCTCATCTTTGCGCCCTATCTCCTTAATATCATGCATCTGTAAAATTTTTCATGCCACTTTGGCCAAGCGTATAGAATGGTTCTTTGAAAAACAGGGTTTATTTTCTGAGGACATGGTAGGTTTTCGTAAGGCACGATCTTCTCTCGACAATCTCTCTAGATTAGTGTCGGAAATACAACTAGGATTTTCAAAGAATTGGGTGACAGCGGCATGTTTCATTGACATTGAAAGTGCCTACAACAATGTTGATGTCTCCTGCCTGGTACGTATTTTGGATCAGTTTGAGGTTGGGTCAAAAGTCTGTACCTACTTGTGGTCATTTTTATCAAACAGGCATCTGCATGTGGTTACGCCCGATTGCGAAATTGTCAGATCTACTGGCCGTGGGCTAGCCCAAGGAGACCCGCTAGCTCCACTTTTATTTAATATTCTTACATCGCATATATGTCATAATATTACTCAGGTTAGTATCTCTCAATATGCTGATGATTTTGTGTTGTATTCGAACAAAAATAATTTAGATTTAGCATTTGAAGATCTTCGGTCTGCTTTACGATACACTATAATGTTAATTGATAAATTAGGTTTAACGATTTCTCCAAATAAAACTAAGATATGTGTTTTTAAAAAAGGATGTTTTAGGAAATCAATTAATTTTGGTTTAGATGATGATATTTCAATTGATGTTGTTAGTAATATAAAATATTTAGGTCTTTGGCTGGATAGTTCGTTAAGATGGGGTAAGCATATTAATGAAACCGCCCAGAAACTACTAAAATTCATTAATCTACTTAAAGTTTTATCAGGTCCGGGATGGGGAGTCCACCAAAAACATATAAGACGTCTATATATTTCCATAATTCGAAGCAGAATTGATTATGCCAGTTTCTTATATGACAATAGCTGCAACTCTAAATTAATTAAATTAGATCGTATTCAAAATCAGGCATTGCGCGTTATTGGAGGATTTATACGCAGCACCCCAATACATGTTATGGAAAGCGAGTTATGTATTCCACCACTTTTTATACGTCGTAAATACTTAGCCAGTAAATTCATTTTAAAATCAAAATCTCTTCTCAATAATAAAACTATACAATTACTAGAAAAACTTTCACTAGTCACAGGTTCCAGTTATTGGCGCAATAAAAAGTTGCCGTTACTCATTAACATCCTTTCACAGTATGACTCTTCTCCTGTACACTCTTGTGCTCAACTTGGAATGTTTTCCCTCGATAAGTGGATCAGTAGCATAGATTTGTCCCATATCGTCATTGATAAAATTCCTAGTATCAGTAAAGCTAAACGTCATTACAATGTCATACAGTTAAAACAATTATGTATTTCATATATACAAGATCAATATTCAGACTATCATAAAATTTTTACTGACGGTTCCAAAGACAAACTTTCGGGAGGGGCAGCCTTTTGGGACCCAGTTCTGATAAGCCATTTGAAGTTTAAAATTGATTCAGATATTTCCATTATGCACATTGAGCTGATTGCTATATTGGAAGCCTTATCCTATATTCTGTCGGTCAATGGCGATAAATTTGTGATTCTGACAGATTCCAAAAGTTCGCTGCAACATTTGGCTCGGAACACTTCTCACATGCGAGGTATTCCGACAGCCTTTGCCATATATGAATCAATCTTAAAACTTCAATCCAGTGGTAGAACAGTTCGTCTCCAATGGATTCCGTCACACGTACAGTATGAGGAGAATGATGTGGTGGATATGCTCGCCAAGCAAGCATGCGTTGATGGTGTTACCATGAATGTTACCCCACTGTTTTCGGACTATTTTAGAAAAGCAAAAAATAAGTGTTTTGATCTTTGGCAGGAGTATTTTGACGAAAGGTCAAAAGAAAAGGGGATTTGGTATCGGACTATCCAGTCAGAGATTCCTCGGGTTCCATGGATTGATTGTGATCTCAATAAAATTTTAGTCACTATTGCTTTAAGGCTTCGCTCCGGACATATTCCATCAAATAAGTTTAACTATTTAATGAAAAAAGTTCCGTCGCCATGTTGTGATTCATGCGGAGTGGTCGAGGATGTCTTCCATATCTTGATGGAATGTGCCCGGAATGAAAATGTTAGGATCCACATTTTGGGATGGCAAAGAACGAATGATATCGGTTTCTGTAACGCTGTTCTTGCTCATCCAACATCTGACGGAGCGAAACATTTATATCAATTAGTTATAAGTAGGTAGATCGTAAGCTATTGATAAGTACTAAACATTATTTATCTCGAACTGGGCGATGTGGTCGCTAAGCGACAAAGCCCTTTAAAATAAATAAAAAAAAAAAATAAAAAATAAAATAATGATGGTAGTCAAATAGCTCATAATAACTAGCTAACTGTTAAACAAACACGTGAATGCTGACTAAACGTTAGTTAACCCTAAAACGGATGTCAATTGTAGGAAGAGTAAACAAAAGTGCCAAGTTAAATGCACTGCATCCGTCTCTACCCGATTAAACTGACGATAGTACATAGAGCCAGCCTTAGTATATTTATATCATTTCTACACAAGATAAAATAGTCAAACCTCCATTATTTGTTTTGCTCGGACAAATCTCAACATTACATAAAGTCATGTGGGTTATGTCGCAAACAGCAAAGCAATAGTGTAAAGGAACATTGAGTGGTGGGGATCTAGGTCGGGTATGAAGTCGGTGTTAGTAGACGGTGGAATCCGTTGGTGTGGGAATGCGAGTGTAAGTACCGTTGCGACGGTGGTCTACACCGCCGCCGCCGCACCGTCCCAACGCAGTGCCCCAGCTGCGGAATGCGAGACCCATTTGCGGCGCTTACAACAGAGCTTAATTGTTAGTGACTCACTTCCTAACCAAATTTTAATCAAAAGCAAAGTTGCTTACATTATTATTTGTAATGTTGATTAAAATAAATGAAAACTAGTAGAAAGTTTCCGACCTAATGTAAGTAACAATTTAGATAAACAAACTTTGTTTTCATAGTACTCTATTTAAGATATTATACAATGATTTTTTCCTCACTATTTAATATTGTATTAAGTTTATTTATAGTATCCAACCTCGGAGACAGTCTATCTCTTAAGTAACGTACGTAATTAGCAGTGCTGTGACCTAGTAGCAATTATAGTTTGTAACTCGTCGCCTTACCCTCCCCCCAGTATTGGATTTTTCCACTAGTAAATACACATCTCGGAAGAGGCTAGCGCCCACAAAGACTTTCACTGAAAGCAGTGTCGGCGAGACAATTTTGCCAATGCCAAAATAATGTCTTAACCTAAAAAACAAATGTACAGTGGAAATTGAAGAATGGACATTCCCGCAAAGTAACTGTTATATTATAGTTACTTTCATTTGCCGCTTTTCATTAAGTTTGCTTTTGGCTAATATACCGTTAAACACGAACTCGCGGTATTCTGCAGCGTTGCTAGAAAGAGACAAAATTGCGAATGCAACTGCTATCTCTATCACCACTCACGTTGAATGGAAGCGTCATTTTTTGTTCGACGACGGCCCCGTAAAAAATGAACAAAAACTCGAGCTACGAACTCGAAAAATTGGATCATCGAACTGTAGGCGAGGCCAGTGAACGTGGCAGGCGGAGAACATTTTGACTATTTAAATCCTCGATGCTGAAATCTTACATTTGATATAGTAAATATTTGCAATATTTTTTGGAAATAACTGAATTAAATATTCATAATATTATAAAAACACCAAAAAGTGACTATAAATGAACTTTAAATTCAAAACCATTAATGGCCAAAAAAGAGGTCACCGTTTTAGGACCTCCATGCAAATAAAAACAAAAATATCGTTGACGTTCCATTGACAAACTGTTGTAAACACGTCATGATGAATTTTAAGTAATATTTTTCAATTTTTATACCGCGTAGATTTAAGCATTGTTTACATATTTAGCGGTCACCTAAATTTAAAGAAACCGGCACTGCAGACGGCGCGTTGCCCCCTGGCCCCCACCGCGCATGACGTATCCACCACCGCCGCTGCCGTCGCCGCCGCTGCTGCCAGCCGATAAACAAGTGCACGCTTTCGAAGCGCGACGACGTCGCATTTCTCTCACGACGTTCCACTAGACAGAGTCTGTGATCAAGTCCCTACAGTTCCGTGAAATAAGTCTAGATGTTATTTTACTCAGTGCGTGTTTTCATTATTACAGATTAACGGCCGAGCGTCTAGTGAGTTACGGGCCCCAATTGCTGCGGCCGAAATCATAGTAGAGACACCTATCAAGATGCAAGCAGCGCCAGCGCCCGCACCGACAACGCCGGCGCCTGCATCTGCTGCGCCCTCAGCGCCAGCATCTTCGCCAGCTGCCAGTCAGGCACAAAAGCCCACCAAACGAACTGCTAAAGATTACATTTTTGGAAAACTTATTGGCGAGGGTTGTTACAGTACAGTTTTTCTTGCAAAGGATATTCACAGTGGAAAAGAATATGCAAGTATGTATAAATATTTTTTTAGATCATCTTTTGAATTAGGAATAAAAAAGTTGTGCGATAATAATAACCCAACATTTTTTTTACAGTTAAAGTATGCGAAAAACTTCACATCATCCGAAAGAAGAAAAGGGAATACATTAGACGTGAGAAAGATGCTCTAAACATGCTGTTTAACGTACCTCACGGTTTTGTAAAACTGTACTGCACATTTCAAGATGAAGAAAGGCTATATTTTGTATTGTCTTTTGCAAAAAATGGCGAATTGTTGTCTTACATAAATCAAGTTGGCTCTTTTGAGCTCAATGTAGCTAAATTTTATGCGGCCGAATTATTGATGGCTTTAGAGAAGATGCACGCCAAAGGAATAATTCACCGCGATTTAAAACCAGAAAATATATTATTAGATGAAAATATGCATTTGCAAATTGCTGATTTTGGTACAGCCAAAATTCTCGAACCGGAAGAGATTCGTGCATCGCCAAATAATACGGATGACACGCAAAATGAAAGATCTAGAAAAATTAGTTTCGTCGGAACCCCGCAGTATGTTAGTCCAGAATTATTACACGACGGTGTTGACACACGTGCCTCAGATTTGTGGGCGTTGGGTTGCATTATTTACCAAATGATTTCGGGTTTGCCTCCATTTCGAGCGGCTACAGAGTTTCTTACGTTCCAAAAAATTCTTAAGATGGATTTCGAGTTCCCAGAAGGCTTTCCTGCAGATGCTAAAGATCTTGTAGAAAAGCTCTTAGTACTAGATCACTCTAAGAGACTTGGGGCTACCGATAAAGGCGAAACTTATGACAGTATTCGCAACCATCCATTTTTCGCTGGAATTGATTGGGATAACGTGTGGGAACAGACGCCGCCAACTATTAGTCCATATTTACCCGGCGGATCATTTGAAGAGGAATATAATGTGCCAGATCATCTTGAGCCCGGATTGGGCAATCAACAGCTTGTAAGACTGTGGGAATTCGACTTATCTACCTCTAAAGGTAATTGTCTTAATTTTATAATATTAACAAATAATCGTCTCTTATTAGTAACCGCATTATTTAATAGAAGTTTAAATAATAGATGTTAGTAGGTTGTCTATGTATCCGATGTGGACAATTACAAAGTCTCGGGCGAGTGCAGTGAAGCGACGAGTAAGAGGCAACTGGTGCGTCCATGACCTGAATTCTTGGCAAATTTATACGCTTCTCGTTTCATAACTAAACCGAGTCCAATAACGTTTTATTTTATGATTATTTCCAAATAAGCAAACTTTTTCATGTGAATAAAATTGTTCATAGACTATTGTGAAGATGATCGTAATATGATCCTTGCACTCATTGCACGAGTAACAAGTACGTCATCGCATTCACTGCTGTACACATTCAGAACGGACGTCCTCAGTCAGTATATGGTTTACGGTTTTATAGTTGGTATGACGTCAACTTTCCGGCACGTCGCCGTTGTCCCGGAGTGGCACATTCTCAACCGCTTATGCCATGACATGAATGACTCGCTCGTTACGCCCTACGTATTTTATTAACGTTGACCTTATGATCAGCTGTGTGTGCACGCAGCTGTTTTTATATAACATCTGAATTTGATAAAATTTATCATTGACGAAATTATTATTAAATTACACTTTTATTTTCAGGAATCTTGAACATTAGTCCAGAAGAAAAACGTCGTCGTCTCGAAGTGCAATCTCGGGAGAGCAAATGGCATCAGTTTGTCGATGGAGAATTGATTTTGAAGCAAGGCTTGGTCGACAAGCGAAAGGGTCTGTTTCCACGACGTCGTATGCTGCTATTAACCACAGGGCCGCGCCTATTTTATGTAGATCCGGCTAATATGGTGCTTAAGGGTGAGATCCCTTGGTCGCCTCAATTGCGGGTTGAAGCTAAAAACTTCAGAATATTTTTAGTTCACACGGTGAGTAATTATATACTGCTTGCATAACAACTCAACTAATACATGCCTGTAAACATATTTTGCGGCTTTATTTATTTATAGAGACGTATAACGCTGTATTTTTTTTATTTCAGCCGAACCGTACATATTACTTGGAAGACCCCGATTCATATGCTTTGGAGTGGGCAAGCGTAATCGACGAAGTTCGCATCGGTACATACGGACGGGATACGACTTAAGCGATGGCGCGGCCGCAGCTCCGAGTCGCGTCCGCGCCGCCGCCGCGGCCCCCCGGGCCTCGCGCCCGCTCCTCGTACCTCACACGGCGAGTTCACACTTCTAGGTTACTTCTAGCCTTGATTTAGAGCATGGCAAATTCCAAGCCGAAAGCTTTCGCGTCGATGATCGACCTCGTGCTGAGTCCTAAGTTATGCATAGGCCGGTGCGGGGTCGGCTCGCCTCGTGACGCCCGCCGTCGCCGCTGTCACCGCCGCGGAGCGTGCCGTGAGCCACCGGCGGCGCTACATATGTTCAAAAAGCGCACGAAGCAATACAGCCGGGCGCTCCGCACGCCGGACGGTTACGAGACGACAACCGATCGACTACAGCTCGATCACTGTGGATACTGAATGACTGATTCCTATTAATAATAAATATCCCGACTATCTTAAATTATTCTAATTTAAGTTCCTTATTTAATTGTGGAATACCGACGATGATGTGTAAATATGTCTTAAATTATTATTGCGATTGCTTAGTAATATTTAATTGTGGGGCAATGTAACAAATGTAAGTTTTATTGTATACAGGCCTCTTGTAAGATTGGACTTGTTATTCACCACCTGCGTGTTCACAAAGCCATTCCGGTTGGTAACTAGGCAATTTATAGCTAAATTTAATATTTATTTTATGTTTAATTATTTGCCAACGGAATGTGACTGCTGTACAGTTATAACCGTAGAAATGTATGATTATTATGTTTCTATATTCTACTTCAACTGAGTTTATCAGTGACAATTGGTATAGTAAGAATTAGCAAAGTTGTATATTTTAAATGGAAGTACCGATTGTCAGGTTCTGGTTGCTGTAGAAATAGAAGCAGCTAGATGAATGAAGAGTAGCCTCTTCACTAATTAATAGAGAGTTTCGGCACATACAATCACAATACTGTGTTTGGTTGCCTTACTTTCAGAACTCTGTTTGAGTATAATACATTAAGCTCTGAAATGGCATACAAGACTTGTGTTTCAATGCTTTTTATGTGCAAGTTACTTGTGCTCTTTAATTCTATCTAACATAGCAAAGGTATACGGAAAATGCCACCAAAGGTGACAGTTATGCTATTTCATTGCTTGGTAATTAATTGTCTAAAATATATTAATTTTGTTAATTGCAGTCTAATTAGGATATTGGGATTGCTTAATGGATAGTGACTAGTGCAAATTTGTTTCTTAATGTTTTGTGTTGTTATAAACAGTGATTGTATTATGGCCATAGCTAATGTCCAATGTCATGGCACTTTGAGTTCTAAAGTTGTATTTAAATTATAATGATTACTTATATCATTTAATCATTTTATAATAGCAGGTATTATAATTAAAATGCCTAAAACTTGCCTGTAATATTTAACATTAGGGCTTAATGGGATTTAATCCATAGTTCAATATGAAACCCTCATTAGCAAAATGTAGAACATTAAGATTTCACTAAGTAGCATGAAGAATTATTTTATTAATTTCATAGTATATCATGGGCAATGATATACTAGATTATAAATTGGTCAGCATAAATTGGACGTTTCCATGACATTGTTATAATTAAAATTAAAACCTGCATTTAAAATTTAATAACTGTTAACTATTGTAATTATATTTTACAACATTTGTATTGCATAAATTCCATAAAGTAACAATATAAGAAATTGAAATAAATTGAAGTTGATTTTTAATAAACACTTTTGTTTTTCTTTTAACCGTTGTGTGTCTAAACGTGGACCCACACAAGACACAATGTATTTTCTATTGTGTCTCGGTGCATTCAGTCGGTTAATAGGTACCACTATTTGTATGTCATTCAGAGGAACCTTAAATTTAACCCGTTGAAATCCACCCCCTAAATTTGGTCATACAAAAGTAGTCTCTAAACATTACAAATAAGGTCTATAATGTAATGTAATATTAGTGGAAAGCGGTCACCGGTGACCGCTTGGTGATTTATGGGTTAAGTTTCAATAATTTAATTGCAATGGGCAGCTTTTACATCTATGATTTTATGTATCTATGTATTAACAATGAAGCAGAGAGAATGTTCATGAAAGACATCACATGGAGAATTTCTACTCCAAAGCAGAATTCACAATTTCTAAAATATGGAGACTATTAGTTACTAGAGTTCGCTTCTGAAGAGAAATAGGGCCGCATAGGAGGATATATATTAGAATTTAAATAATTAGAAAGGTACAAATATAAAATCTAATTCAGTACCTACTTAGCTCAGCACAAGAAACAGTAAGTGACAGTAGGTAGGCACTAAATACACAAATTATTGCTTAATTTTATGATAAAAATGGGATTAAAAAATAAAAACAGCATCTCTTCAGATAGCTGATGTTTTTCTACTGGGCTTCAACAGTATTAAACCCAATCTATTAATATTGTATTTGTGTAGTAAGTACCTACCCATATTGCAAACCTAGGTACCTACCTAGTAACATTGAGATAGACCTACAACTCAAAGCCTAATAACCAACATACAAGTTGTGCAAAGATTTGTTTCTGTATAGGTCGTTAGGAATAGGTAATTTATGAATTTACTAAAATTGTTTCAAATCTGAACATTTAAGTACCTAGGTACAAATTTCTTGAGTAGCGCAGTAGTATACCTACTACTACACTACTCAAAATATCAATACACTACTGTGTATTGATATTTTTGTTCGTAACTTTAAGTAACTTACCATAATATTCTGCATCAATGCTCAATTAATATTGTACAGAGGTTATTAAAATATGAAAATTATTTTCAATTGGCTACTTTCGTGAAGAAATCCAAGCAAAAGAAATAGTAAAGTTTATGTGAACTTTTAGTTGAATAAAGTTACATTAAAAATTGCGAAACACCTGATTTTCATTCAAAAGAACATAATACCTGGCTGCTGGCTGCCAGACCAGATAGATAATTATTTTTTAGAGAGTATACACATAGCGCCATCTATGATCTATCTGGTAACATTTTTTTTGTAGTTATTTGGTTACCATAATCCTCAACAGAGAGCGGGGTGCTAGCCTTTTATTTGAGTTATAGCCGGAAACAAAGTAGGTTCATGAATACGTTGTCGTTTGAGTGTAGGGTAATTAAAAAAAGCTCTGCAAGAGTGTTTAATAAACTTGGTACAAAAGGTGTTTTGCATTCTGTAATATTATTTTTTCTATGGCAATACGTATTGCTAGTGTCAACTGTCAGTTTTGACGTACCTTACGTAGTTGTCAGAATGGCACTTGGCAGAATGAAAAATGTCCTAATAATATAACCTAAAAATTTTTAATTACAAACCCGATACGGTCATTTTAATTGTATAATCTAATAAATTACATTTTCCTTTCTACGAAATGACCTCGACTGTTATAAAGTATGTTGGAAGAACAACCGATTTTAAAGGAAAGACTCTTTGGGAAATCGTTGGGAGTTTGAAAAACCAAGGTGTTGGGAGAATCATTGTGCGATCAGTTTTCGAAAGATACCCAGAGCCTAGTTTTATGAAGATTGTTAAAGTTGAAACTTGTCCTGATGAGGTGAGATAGCAGTTATATTTTTTATATTTTCGTGTGTTTTATTCATTGGGTAGTAAATTATTTATTTTCTAACACATTATTCATTGAACCTATGAATTATTCTCCGGCTCAAAAGTGTTAATTTTTTCAGGAACGACGTAGAGTAAGAATATGGGTTGAGAAAACATTTAGAGGTCGCAAAATGCCGAATTTGACAGAAATATATCGTACATCTTACAAGCCTGATTACAAACTTATACCTAAGAATGAGGAGGCTAAACTGCTGGCCAGTGTTAAGGAAGTGCACGACTATCCTGAGGTGATTCTACCAAGAAATATTGAGATGCCGCCACTAATGAAGAAATTTATTATCAAGGATCATGAAAAGAAAGGACTGGAGGTGCGTAATATTCATTTTACTAGAACAGCTTAATGTTGGGAGATGTAAGAAGATCTTATATTTATGTACTATTTCTAATCATGTCCTAACGACTAATCTCCTTAGGGAAGGTATTATTAAAGTATTATTTTACAATTTTACATGAATAACTTTACAACAAGAGATAAAACAACATAAATGTATGCAATTTAGAATTAACTAAAACTAAAACAATGATATGAGGACAAGATAAACATTATTTTGATTGTTATTTGATGACTAGAGACCGGATAATATGCATTTGCATATTTGCATATGCATTTGCATATTTAAGCGATTTTCAAGGCTAATAGCATATTTTTACTAATATCTAGTGATGATGCATATTATTGCTATAATTTACAGTAGGTAGGTATTTTTCGAGCGTAGCGCACTCGGCAGCCGCGCGTATTTTCTTTTGGTAGGTACTCAAAAAACGAAAGAGACAATTGATCGCGCCGCCGCGCGCTCGCCTACCGCGCTACTCCCACCATGCATGTCATTATTACTTTGATTGTTGACACGCTCGTGCTCGGATAATTCAAAGTTCAAATTCTGCCCAGTTACCTCAGTAGATGTGGAGCGATCATTTTCGACCTATAAAAATATTTTGAATGATCGAAGACATAATCTTGCCACTGAACATTTGGAACAATACTTGATTGTTAATGTTTACAAAAATATTAAATAATGTCTACTGTATCGATTAACATCTATCAATGGATAGTTTTCTATAAATGTATGCTGATTTTTTAATAAAAAATAAAACTTAATAGTTTTTTTATTTTATCAAACAACAATAAATTAAAAAGATACATACATAATAAAGTAAAACATAAATAAGACAAGTATTTACTAACAAAATACTTAAATCTAAAGGAATAATATTTACAAAACAAAAAAAAACTCATTTAATGTTGCATATTCTGTCAGTTTTCGTGCATATTTTAGGCATTTTACATGCATATTTGCATGCATATTTCAAGCTTTTTATGTTGCATATTATCCGGTCTCTATTGATGACTATTAAACTACTGTGTATTTATATACAGTAGTATATTACTAAATAGTAGTGGTACCTACTTTTTATATAATATATTACTATATAGTAGTGGTACCTACTTTTTTTTATTAAATACATAGATTTTTACCTATGAAATCTCCATTTATGTTCGTTGATGAATTCATAGATAAGTTGCAAGTGATTGTCACCTTTGATTTTTCAGGTTAAGGTCAGAAAGGTCTAATTTGATTTCGAGAGTTAGGAAAATCACACATAATAACATAACATCACGCCTTTTATCCCCGAAGGGGTAGGCAGAGGTGCACATAGAAGTAACACCCACTTTTCACTATTTATGTTATGAGTCCCATTTAATAGGGGGTGAGCCTATTGCCATATTATTATATTACCGGGCACATTTCCAGACTCCGTGCTACTACTGAGAATTTTTAACGGAATTTTTAACGGCAGTCGCACTTGCGACCACTCGGCCAACGAGGCAGTCACTAGAAAAATCACTTGGGTTGTTATATTCTATAAACGTTTTGTAATGTATTACATTGTATAATGTATATTTTGTATTGATTTCCAGGTGATGACAGACTTCACAATGCCAATAGCCTACAACTACAGTCCGAACAGAGTCAAAAGAATAGCTAAACCTGACGAAAAGCCAACTGTACAATTTTCTATGGGCCTTGGTACACCTGCCAGTCCTTCACTCTATGAGGGAGTGCCACTAAGTTAGAGAAAACAAGAAACCAATATTACATGTGTATTTTATTATAGATAATATTATAGAGCAATAAAGTAGTTGATTACAATTTATGTACATATTTGCACCATATTTTATTCAGCTTTCTCTGTGATATTGAGACCAACAACATACTCATAGTCATAACACAACTGAAGTACATTAGTGAAAAGCGGATGCCACACTATGCACCTCTACCTTCCCTTTCAGGGGCTGTTGTTATGTCTAATATAGTGTTTATATCTTTGCTTAACAATCTGGCAAATAGGTAATTATGTAATATTTTATATTGTTATTAACCTTTGAAAAATTAGATCTATTTGATTTAAGATTTGCGACAGTCAAAATTAATAATGATATTGAAACCAAAATCTTCACCTTATATAATAATTAAAATAGATGTACACAGTTCACATTAATTTGCCATCCATTATTATTGGAATGCTGTTCCTCCATACTTTTCTTGTTACCTTGCAAGTGGGAATTATAATTTTTTCATATGCGATGCTGATGCAAACGCCTTGGCCAAAAAAGGATTGAACTCCATGTCGGGAATCTGGCGTTCCACTTCGAGTTTCTGGAAATTTGAAACAACAGTAGCCTTTTAAACACATACATAAATATCATAATCTTATCTTAGCTTTTAATAATATCCGCTTTTTTATAGCTTAATATCCACTCCAGCTCCGGCAGCTGATCTGCGACCCCCGTAGGATATGCACGCGGGCGACTGATTAGGGGAGTTAGTCGTCTGCTGTATGAGCGGGAGTAGGCTTCAACAGTGAAGTGAAAAAGAAAAAAGTGTCTTAAACCTCCAGGCTATCAGGAAAATCTGTATATTGTAACGAAATAAACGATAAAAAATTGAGCGGCAAACCTTCCAAAAGTCGCGCATTTCTTGCACTTCTTCTTGTCTCTGTATAAAGTACTGGCGCACAGTTTTTTGTATGAGAGTGGCAGCGTATTCCTCCGGCCATAACCAGGACTTTGGGTAATAAGGACGAGGACTGGAAGCATCATTGTGAATTTTGTTACTAAAATAAATTAAATAAAATAAATATTTAAGGGAGCCCCCTTTCATAATTATTTATATTACACCTAATAAGGAGCGAGCGTATACCGACTACTAAGCCCAATTTCAGACGACTTGCCGGTTGCTACTGAAAAATTTTTCGTATAATCGAAACCACAATAATATTACCTAACTTACGAACTAACACGAAATACCTAATGCAAATTATGACCACAGTACCGTTTGAGTTACGAGTCCGACTCATTTGGCCTGTTTTTTTTTCATTTAGACATGAACATATTTACTTACTTCATCTTAAGAGCCTTTCTAACCCACGGCATGTTGAACAAATGCAAATTCACATCCTTGCGTCCCGGGAAGCGAGGGTTATTGTTCCAGAGTACCTACGTAAAATAAAATAATAGCATAGAGCAAGATATGCGCGAAAAACAATACCCTTCCTACAGTAATAAATCAGTAGGTCATATAACATCAAGTCTGTTTTTCATCTAAATGTAGGTGTTAAGGCGAGTCCTGATCTGCTGAATGTTCAGAGTGCACAGTACGAATAACTATCGCATACGTAACGTAACGTAATAGTATCGAGCGCGTTCGGTTTGGTTGGTAGTTTCACTAGAGCCGGCGCTCTGTTAATAAAGGTCGCTTGAGTCGAATTAATCACCATCGAAATTTTGAAGACTTAAGATTAATTGGGTCTGACTGAGCAGTAGTGTAGGTATGTAACATTACATCACGCCTTTTATCCTCGAAGGGGTAGGCAGTGATGCAAATTATGCCACTGTACAATGTCACACCCACTTTCCACTTTTTATGTTGTGAGTCCCATTTAATAGAGGGTGAGCCTATTGCCATATACCGGGCACAATTCCAGACTCCGTGCTACTACTGAGATTTTTTTAAAACGCTAGTAATACTTTGCCCAACCTGGGAATCGAACCCGAGACATATATGTCTCAGTTGTCATACATATGTAGGTATGTAGTCTTATGATATCACGTATGACAATCTATCATCATCATAATCAGCCCGTTTCCGTCAACTACTGTTCGCCTCTCCAATAGCACGCCACTGAGCTGGAAGTTTAGCTACCTAGAAAGTAAAAGTGTACAAAACCAGGTGTACCTGAACGATGTGGTCTATTCCATTGAAGAAACATTTGTCTCTAGTAAACGCTTCCCAGATCTTGGCTTTATTGAGAGTCTCCACTAAGGCGGGTATGAGTTGCACAAATACTTCATTTTTAATATAATCGGTTTCAGTTCCTGTAAATATATTAACTACATTTGCACCTTGGACACATGGGAGTAGCTAGTTTCAACAAATATGATCTTTACAATTATCTTTCTTTGTATCTTTCATATTTACGTACATACCTACCTAATACCGACGTACCTACCTACCTAATATACAATCAATTCTCAAGTGCTACAATTTGTCTATTTTTGAGGAGTGTGGGAATCATTGAATTCTATTGCCGTGGGTGAGGAGGGATTGCCACCGTGTTAGACTCTTACTGGCTAAAAACCATCTCTAACTCCTACTTGGAGCAGAGTCCGCGGTATGGGGACTTTATCTGTACCCCTGACCGGGCATCGATCCTAGCGGGCCTCGTCTGTGGTGGTCGTATTGGGAGCGCGTTATTGTAGATACGTAAATATTAAAAGGATGTAAAACATCGGAACACATTGTCAGACTGTACTTATTTGCAAACTTACTAAGGAACGGTGATTTCGGTACAGGTACTAGTTTATTCTGGCTAAATTCTTCCAATTGTTTGTGCCATTTGTTACTTTCGTCGATGATATCATTCCAGTTCGCTCTCGGCTTTCTCTTAATCAGTATTGGGAAATCAACTTCAGAGCAAGGGAGGCTGTCAGGTAATGTGAACGCTGCTGTATCATTGGATTCACCGATACCCTTCAAGTCTTTTAATTTGGTCTTTCGGTCCGTACCTTTACCGGCCATTTTTATTTGAACCAAATAAATGTATAGACTTTTATAATTCTTTATTTTATTAGAACTTCGATTGTTACTTCAGAGAATAATATTCATACGACGTATATGTGACGTTGTTGACAAAAAATGTCACGGATCGAATGCCACAAAAGACATGGAGGTATTATTTCTTTTTGGTGACATTTTAAAATAAATTAGCAAACAGTAACGGTTATTGGGGGAGGTGGGCAGGCCTATGTCCAAAGTGGACGTCTTGCTTGTGTCTGATATCAAGGACGCTGATATGATGATGATGATGATGTTAGAGTAAGATTCTGTGCTTCAACGTTTTGCATTTAGGTAGAATAAATCAAGGTATACAAATTATTATAATTCATATCTATTTTTATTACACAACAGCAAATACAAATATCTGCATACGCAATTACTCGGATGCTCTGGATATTACCATCCAAAGCTTATAAGTAATAAATATTAAATAAGTACATCTAAATCCTAAAAATAAATATCAGATACTTTTATGTCCAATAAATTAATTGTAGATGTCTTTTAATTAAGACTTTTATGATTAATAGGGAGAGAATTTCCCAGTGATCTGTGAGATCCAGTCTAAGTAGTGAGCAACTTTAACGTAGACACCAGGTACTCCAGGCTGGCCGCAGCCGATACCCCACGAGACGACGCCCACGATCTGCCAGGTACCGCTGCGCTCACAGACCAGGGGGCCACCACCGTCACCCTTGCACGCGTCTTTTCCTTCTTCACCACCGGCACATGTGAAGCCAGGGTTTAGTTCGTAATTGTAACCCAAACGGGTTTGCCTCAACTGTTGTTGGCATTGGCCGTGGGAAAGAATAGGCACATCAACTTCTTTCAGAATGTTCTGGTACTTTCCGTAATCTCCGAAAGCATCTTTTCCCCAACCGGTAGTCCAGCATCTTTGACCAGAATAGTCGGCGTACTTGTCTGGCAAACAAGCGGGACTGATGTGAGGATATTTAGTCCATTCGACAGGGTGGTCCATCTTTAAGATAGCGAGGTCGTTGTCCAAAGTGCCGGCGTAGTAAAGTGGATGTACGTGGACAGACACGATGTCTCTTTCAATGTATGGATAGAACTCGACGTCACGATTCACGTCCCATTCTCCAAGACGCACTCTTAACTCAAAACCTTTGTATCTGAAAAAGGATATTTAATATTAGATATCTTTAAATTATTAGGTAATTGATTTGGTTTTTTTTAATTATTAGGTGATTGATTATTAGGTAAGTGATTGGTTTAAAATATGATTTATCTAGAGGTGTAAATTAAAAATATAGTAAGTATTACTTACGATTTAACACAGTGAGCAGCAGTCAAAATATGAAGTCCATCAATAAGTGTTCCACCGCAGACATATACAGATTCTTTCGGATCCTTCTTCAGGATAGCTGTTTGCCATGGGTATTCTCCGAATTCACTTTCACCATCGACGTAAGCGGGAGTTTTGATTCTGCCATTGATTCCTTGAGAGTGTCTGATGCCGCACTGTCCTTTGTTAGCTGCTTGTGGTTGCAGAGGACGACGACAGCAAACCTGGTTAGGTCTGCACTGCTGCACTGGACGACGACCGAAATATCCTTGACGCTACGAATTAAAAAAGTTTAGTTAGAAATGTATTATAGCACATCAACAATTTGTAAATGAATTTCATAGAGGTAGTTGTGCAAATGGAAAAGAAATGTGCATAAATTACCTCTTCTATAATTACGGACATATTTCCTACATCGATTTCTCTCTTCCTTCTCGTTTCAGGAAATCGGACTGTTTGGTATCCCCGATTTGCCCGAGGAGGCGTTGAAGGAAGGTCAAGGGAGCGGGAATAGGATGATCTATTTACATGAGTACCGTGATCAGAAACGTCAGAATTTTTTTCTAATCTATCTTCATTGTGTAGGCTTCTGTATTCAGGGTGAGGGTAATCCTCACCGCCGTATGTATCGCTATCATCTTCGTAGTCATGATAACCCTCTGAAGGTAGACTATTACCATGGTAACTATACGGTTTATAATCAGTATAATGTGGGGAGTAGACGGGAGGTCCGTTGTGCACGTGTGGTGGAGGTATATAGTTGGGAGGAGGGTGTGGATGATGTGGTCGAGGAGGTGGATAATGTGGAAAATTATACTGTGGCGGGTAGGCTGGTCCTGGGTATGCAGGAAATGGTTGATGTACATGATAATGTTGATGTTTATTCAATAAGTATTGTTTTTTTTCATCAAAGATTTGCGTCAATGCCCTTAGTTTACTTTCGCTAGGTGTTACATGAAAATGTAAAAGAGGTTTGTAAATTTTTTCACCTTCAACAGTTTTGGTAACTTGAAGAGAGAATACAGGATTGACAACGGCGAGTCCCAAATTAATACCACCGGCCATTATGGCAGAACTGAAAGGACGAAGGTGCGGATTGAAAGGATGGAAGTTAGAACTCTGGGGTGCCTGGGGCAAGGCAAAAGAGACACCAAACGTGGGCTCCACATGTTTTTGGTCATGACCGGTATGCTCGTTGAAGCCAGGGTATCGAGGCGAGCGCTGTAGTAATATTTTTGTATATCAATAAATTATACTATTATGAAATGTTAGATTATAATATTATGTCAGTGCCCATTGTTTAGTATATCTTTTGTAAACTGTTACAATTACGTTTGTCATTAAATATAATATCTTAAACTAAATGTAACAGTGTTACCTCAGGTTTCAAAATATGACGAATATAACCGGGGAAATGGTTCTGAGGAATATGAAAGCTAAGAAAAGGAAGAGGAAAGGTAATCAATGTTATGATGAATCTGGGACAAAGCTTCCCTTGGTATGAATGACCTCATAATGTAATTTTATCATTAAAATGATTTTATGCTTACCGGTTCAGCCTCCTTCGCAGCCTCAGAAGGAGTTTCTTCTTTAGTTTCACGTTTGCTTAATTTCTTGGTTTCAGTAGCGTTGGCAGCGGAATCAGCAGTAGCTGTTGCGATGTCAGTTTTGTTTAGATTATCTAATTGCTCCTCAGTTAATGCAGCAATCTCACTACCTTTGTTGCGAGGGTCAATTGGTAAGTACAGGTCATCTCTGCGGCCAATTACTTCTTGACTTGGACATTGGTCATAGTTTACACAAACACAGTCAAAGTTTTGTGCTTTGGCTTCGTGGTAGTTTTCGGCATAACCATTGCTTTGTCCGAAAGTTGATGGTCCTTGATTGTAAATATTGTTTTGCGAGCCTACATGCAACTCTTTTTTGTAAAATTCGTTGCTCTGAGAAGCGTAACTACCCAACCCATTTCCATACTTTTGATCTTCAAATGCGTTGTTATTAAATTGATTGGGTAAGCTTTGGGTTAAAATATTGCCATTTTGACCAACTTTGTTAGATTGGTGGCCGTATTGAGATCCATAAATTGTGTCAGATTCGTAAATCGGTTTAGTATCTGAGTGGAATCCTCCTGACATGGGTTTAAAACCACCAGATGTTATACTGCTGTAGTCACCACCAGCTGCTATAATATCAGAAGATTGTAATCCAAAAGACTGAGATCCAAATGATTGAGACCCAAATGATTGAGACCCAAGTGATTGAGACCCAAGTGATTGAGATCCAAGAGACTGTGAATTCAGCTGACCTACAGATCCTACAGGAACTGCCACTGGTTTAATAATAACTTTGGGATCTTTATTGTCTTCGTGTACGTAGTGGTGATGGATGTGTTGTTGAACGACGGCATCAGTCTTTGTGTCTGAATGAGATGGATATTTGTTATATGCTGGTTTGGCATTCTCATAAGCGTATGGCCCTGGGGTCGCATAAATAGGGGATTTGGTAACGAAGTTTGATTCGTGGGCATTATAACTGTTTTGTGAGAATTGGAAGTTGCCTCCTGCTACGCCATACTTTTCAGAGAAACCAGGTCTGACATTGCCGCCGTAGCCGACTCTCTTAGGTGGAATTTTCTGAGGTCGTGGACGGTAAGACATAGGCTGAGGTGGACCATAAGCTCTTGGTGGGCCTCGGACTGGAATTGATGCAATGGGTTTCCCAATAGGCTTGATATCAACGGGTTGAGCGTAAATGACTTCATCCGGCGACAGGTATGTACGTTTTTCCTGGCTATCTTCGTCTTCACACTGAAACGAGTTAAATATTATGTAAGTAAACGAAAAATATTTTATGATAGCAAAAGTTTTTAGTTTGATACCATGATGTAGATACATACCTGTATGAGACCTAGGGTGCATAATCTCCCTTTAATTAGGTTTCGAGCTTCAGCGTCGTCTCCGGAGTCCAATGCTTCCTTAATAGTGGGGTCACTGTAGACATCGTCAAAGCCGCCCAGGCTTCTTCCTTGCTTGCTGCTCACTAACTCGTCGACAATGTCATCAAGTACTGTGCTGTTAGATTCAAAGTTTTTCTCTTGAGCTTCGGGTAACTGTTCTCCTTGTAACAAAGGCGAAGCATTCTGGTGGGGTTCGTCGGCAGGTTTGGAGTCTTCTTTTCCGCCCCATGACCACTCTGCAGTGGTACTGGCGAATATTATTGGCAGTAATATAAAAGTAATCGTTGACCACCGCATGATCTGCAACAACATTAAAGAAAATGCTGATGTCATTTGATCCTTATTTTGTAAAGCATGTCATTGTTTCGAAACTGCGAACGGAGAATCACTTTTACTTTCGCAGACAGTTTGTTATATAAGGCTACATAACGTCAGCGCCGTGTTGTGGCTGCGCGGTCATTGGAAGGCGTGGGGCCGCGAAAGCACTCTCACACAAAGTATACGACTTTAAACATGTACATTACTCTCATGTTTGTTCACATCACCATAATAAATTGTTCAAATGCGATGTTTTCTTAAGAATTAATATGAAGATGTCAATTATTGTAAAAGATAAAGTTAAATGTCAAACACATAGGTATTCTGATACGTTATTGAGGTCAGCTTTTGTCTTTTGTTTTGAAAGAAAGTCGATATTGGTGTCAGTGTCGTGGTGTCGACCAAAACTGGCACAGACAGTTCGTTGGTAAGCCGCGCGCGTCTCGACCGATGCGTCACAAATTCGGTAACCGTCGATAATAATTATGTAACTTCCGATTATTTCATCTTGTTTGTTTTATGCAAGAAGTTACTGCAATCATGAGAATATTCGCATTTTTAATTTCCGCGCATTTTTAGTTTACGCGGTTAGTAGAGCGCATAAAATATGACAAATGGAAAAATAAATGCGTTTTGAAAGGCATGCGATCTTATAAAGACGTTTGAAAGTAATTATTGCGTGCAATTACTCTTGTCCTAAGCATAAACTGTATGTGGATACCAACTAGTATTTAGGTAAAGTATATTTTTTAACTGAGTTCAAAAATGTTGACCTTTTTTCATTTTCTTGAGAGTTCACAAAATGTTATTAATTAATTTGCGGTTATAATTTACTAGATACGTTAATTTCTTGAATAAATACTATAGACAATTATGTTGTTAAAGCGGATAAAGATTTTTAGCGGAAACTATGGAATATGGTAAGTGTGGTATGGTTCTGTTGTTATGCAATGTTTTACATATTCCTGATGTTGTGGTTGAGACCGGCGCGGGCGCACAAGAGACCGGAAAGTGAAAGTTTACGCGAGGATCATTTACTTGGGAAACTGCCTACTCCCCATTGTATGCAAATTTTTTAATTAGAACAATGCAATGTTTATTTACTCTTTTCTAGATATGTCACCGATATTATCACAATAGTTGGTATTGACTTTTACGTGCATGAAACAATTCACTGACATTACCTTATTATTCTGAAGAAAAAAGTAAACACACATTCGTATTAAATCATGATTACACAAATGATCGTTACGATGATTAAAGGAATTATATTAATTCTATAATTTCTGCGCAATGAATGCGTATACACGATGCGGTAGTTGCTTTCCTCCGTCGGATATTGAAAGAGAAATTCTACAACGAGTTTGTTATTGTGCCGCTAAACGTCAGTTTAGTTTCCTTCACCGCAAATCCTGTGATGTAACTGATAAACACGAACTCAAAACACTGGGAACTTACTTTTAAAGTGGTTCACTCCTTGTATCACTAAAACTGATTTATGTTCAAATATTCACTTGTTTACCGGCGCACTGTCTGCGTCCGAATGACTGCCACTTCTACTACGACGACGCTTTATACTTCGACCAACGCAAAGATGCACGCGGGCTGATTTTGTAAGACGATCGACGCAGCCTCCTACCACGGTATTCCAGATAGTCGAGCGACCGACCGAACTTGAGTACATTTAATCGCTAAACGGCTGTCGCAAAGAGACCTGGGTAGTGGTCATGACGTCTGCTATAGCATTGATCGACCCTTAGTTCATTCATGTTCCGAGTATATGTTTGGCAATATGGGGTTTTTGAGGCCGTCTTAGCGGATCTGTATTGTAGACGTTGGCGAACAGACATTAAGTTACTGATGTCATACATTTGATACATTCTGTGAATGTTTACGTGTATGTGTGTCAATTATGGCCCAATAAAAAAAATTACTTCGTTCTATTGCCAAATGAAGTCAGTAAGTTGATTTGGATGTAGAAGAAAATATTGTCCAAGATTTTAACTTACTATTTGATGTACAATAGTTGGATTGAGTCACTCCTTTATCTGCGTGATTAATATATTGGACTTGGAATTACGCCAAGACACAAATACACATACTGTAGATGATATCGCTGATTATAACATAAAACTTTGAACTGGATGTTTTTATGAGATAGGCGCACACAGGCACATGTACACTTGGATGGTAAGCAATCACTACTGCTCATAAACACCCGCGGCTATAGAGGAGAAACAAATGCATTATCAGCCTTTAAATGAGATAATCGTAAAATAATAACTTTATTATTGTATAGATATACTTTGCCTTGATCTATAGATATATGGCATCTTTGGCCGAGTGGTCGCCAGTGCGACTGCCAGACAACGGGTCTTTTTTTTTTTAAGGGGGGAAAATCATGGAATGACTGCTCCCGCCTGGGTGAGGCGGAAGGGAGTGTCAGACTCTTACTGACTAAAAACCACCCCGTTCCTTCTCCTGCACGTCGAGCCGGAGCCCGGTTACCCGTTAGGTTCTCCGCGACAGGGTTCGATTCCCGGGTCGGGCTAAGTATTACTGGCTTTTTTAAAAAAACCCTGTAGTAGCACGGAGTGTGGAATTGTGCCCGGTATATGACAATAGGCTTTCCCCCTATTACATGGGACTCATAACATAAATAGTGAAAAGTAGGTGTTACATTGTACAGTGGTATTAAGTGCCGTAATGTGCACCGCTGCCTATCCCTTCGGGGATAAAAGGCGGGATGTTACATACTTAAAAACCACTTCATTTCAAAAGTCTCTTAAAATGAATTTTTCTTGGTAACAAACATTTAGTTTTATAAATGATAGGGATAACATTTTAGTAATAATTTAGAATTCAGTCAAAAGTGCCTTAACTCGTCGAGTACCGTCATTATAGACACAATTATAGAACAATAGGTTGCGGTCACCGGTGACCGCTTGGTGTTTGACAGTTTAATGCTTAAAGTTATGTGCTCTATACAACTAGAAAAAACTAAAGACAAGAAAAATAACAACAAAGATGCACCTAACCTAATTTTAACCAAACACACACTCACTTGACAATATTAAAATTTGATATAAACGACATTTGATTGCCACACAAGTATAAGTATTGTATTGTTGTATAACTAGACATAAGCCACCCACACTGCATGGTTGGGGCTCACCCTTCCATAACAAGATAATGAGCCACTTTCTCAGGACCAAAGTTTTCTAGTAAGGCTCGATGACCCAGTAACTTATTACTCCAAGTTTTATTCGATTATTGCCTAAAAATACATTTAAATGTTAACTTTTTTTTTTTTTTTTTTTTTTTTTTTTTTTTTATTTATTATTACATTTCAGTACAGTTTAAAATTTCTTATTTGCACCATTAAACCACAGCTGGTTTGTATTGGTACTCACATTCGCTTAACAAGTTTTATGTTATAAATTTATAAACCCATTCAATATGACAATTACGTTAATATATGTGACAAAGATACAACATTTTAGATACGTTAGATATTTTACAAGTAACAGTAAACATCCATGAGCAAAGCATAAACTAGATTGCTGAAATGTTATTGTGATTGGAGTTTTTGGACTAGCTCTTGTCGTTCTATCATAGATATTATGTTCATAGCAAGAGATACAATTTCGTTCATTTAAGTTTACTGTTAAAAGTTGTTGTAATGTAATAATATGTAGCTTTGACATTTAAAATGTATTTTAGCATTATTATACACACTATAGATAGAATTTATTCATATTTTATATCCAACTCAGCTACTTCCTTTGTTTATCTACTACGCCACGTCAATGAACCTTTGTGTTATTGTTTTGTTCTGATGTTAATAAAAGACCGTAACCATCTATCTATCGATTATAGTATTTATAGCATAAACAAAATATTAGTCACCGATTGCTTTATTCAATTTGTTTGTAACTAATCTTTTGATAAAGAAATACCGCATACGTAAACTGTTGCCGCACCGGTAATTATGTCAGTACAAAAGACATCAACGCGCTGCAATTTATAAAACAATTGTTTTTTTCATTTATTCCGATTGTAATTGACGTAGCACCTTCTAATATTAATCGGAAATTAAATAAAATGAAATCGTCTTAAACGTGGGTTCATTACGTCAAGAATAATATAAGAAATCCGAAGAAAAAATGTACATTGTAATGAATCACTTCAAAAGAAGAACCCGCCTACATTATTAAAGAAAAATGTTAATTTGGATTGGACATACATATCACTTTGAGTATGTTTATGTCATTAAAATGCATCATTTGGTTACATAACATAACGACCGAGTTAATGTGACAATTGCCACCTATTGTACTTAAACAATTATGTAAGACGTAAGGAGTAAACACATTCATATTCATAACACGAAGACTGAAGTACTAATCCGTAGTTACGAGAACTATGTATGTAATAATTAACTTAATACAATTTAACTGTTTCTTCCGAGTAAAAGTAAATACTTAATTATATGTTGTGTATGTCTAAAGCATGTATGTATATGCTGTACAAGTATGTGTTCCGTGTGTTCGTTCCATACTGTTCATATTCTAAATGTTCCAATTTATTTTGTTCAAATAATTAAAACATCTCAATATAATTTCGTCTCATTGGATTGCGATCAGTGACTGTAGGAAGATTAATACCATAATTTAATGGTTCAATGACTTAAGTGCTATCTCCAAACTGTCTGTTAAGCTTGAGAATATGATAAAATTCATCTTAAGAGAGGATCTTCTTTATTCAGCAGTGGACGTATTCCAATGGATATTGACGCTGATGATTTATTTCAATAGTGTCTCACAGCGACACCAACAAACGAGTTTTAACTACCAGTTTACAAATAAAACTAATAAAGCAACTAAACATTGAATGAAAGATTCTAGACATTTTTTATTAGTTGTATCAAACTTGTTACCTCGTGCTAATTATAAACAGGATTTGATTTTTTCAACATTGCGCATTTGTGCACCAATGGCTTGCACAAGACGGGCTTTCCAGCGCTGAACGAGCCGGACCTGCGTCGGCGCAATGCACGCTGACGCTACTAAACATTTGCGCAAGAGTTCGGTGAACCATTTCTATGACTCCAATGCTCTACTGAATGAACTTGCGTATGTTTTGTTACCAAATAATATCTGTACGTGTGTACATACTTTAGCTTGTTGGGATGCTGAATTCTATCGTGATATGTCATCTGCATTCGAAAGTAGATCGAAGTACTGACAGTACCAAGTTTTGGCATTTGTTCCTACTTGAATATAATTGTAATGTTACTTAATATTACATTGCGTTTCGTAAGGGTTAAGATTTTTTGGTTACTATAACTGAGTGTCATGGCGGAGTAAGATCTAATGGAAATTAATTACATTTAATGTTTGCGTTTTCGATTTAATGCCAACGTCCACATAATCCCTTTTTTAAATAAAACTTTTTAACATCACATTTATTCCGTAAATGACTTTGTAAACAAAAATAATAACTTCAATATATTCACCAAAACGTTACATAAATACATATAATATGTATAAATACATTATTATAGCCACCGTGGGAGAGCCATGTTTCGGCACGAATGGGCCGGCTCGACCGGAGTAATACCACGGCCTCACAGAAAACCGGTGTGAAACAGCGCTTGCGCTGTGTTTCACCGAGTGAGTGAGGGTACCGGAGGCCCAACCCCCCCCCCCTCATAATGTCGCAGTTGATTCAAGAGTTTCTACCCCAGGAGGGTACCAACTGCGTTGGAGAATCCCTCTCTGGACGTCCATTTTCAGAACTCAACTACCCTGAGCGTGGACGTCCAGGCCGCCCCACATCGTACTCTGGGGGGGGCAAAACTGCGCATCATAAAGCTGGAGGCAAGAGCAGAATAACCATGGCACCCCTTGCCACGCTGAATGTGGACTTCTGCAACATAAGGGGATTACACACCAACCTCAATGCTGTCCATCACCACCTAGAGACAGCAAAGCCGGCCTTGCTCTTTTTGACTGAGACGCAGATATCGTCTCCGTTGGACACATCCTACCTCACCTACCCTGGGTATGGACTGGAACATTCCTTCCTGCCTAGGGCCGGGGTGTGCGTGTACATCAGGGACGATATCAGCTCACGTCGCCTCAGTAATCTTGAAGGTAGGGACCTGTCCACCTTATGGCTGCGTGTAGATAACGACGACCACCCCCGTGTCTACGCGTGCCTATATAGGTCCCATAGCGGTGATAGCGAGACTGACCGACTCATGGACCACATCCAGACGGCTGTAGATCTTGTGCAGGGGCAGATATCCTCAGCGGAAGTGGTCTTGCTTGGCGACTTCAACGCCCATCACGCCGACTGGCTCTGCTCCAGTAAGACTGACCACGCGGGGAGATCTGTCCACGACTTGGCTCTTGCTTCTGGCCTAACACAACTGGTGACCGTGCCCACGCGAATCCCGGATGTGGAAGGCCAGAGGTCTTCACTGTTGGACCTTCTGCTGACCTCTCACCCGGACGGCTACAGCGTATCCGTCGAAGCCCCTCTTGG